GAATTCAGCGTCGTCGAAACTCAGTTTGCACTTTGTCTGTACATCGGCCGTTGCGCATTCTATCGCGCGTTCTCGCGCGTTCGCGCTTGGTTTTTTTCTTTGGGCGATCTCCTTCTACCGTCACCACCCCTATTTCTTTGCGTACTACGTATGAGCCAGTAGCCTCGTTGTAGTCGGCTTGCAGGGGTGGTGGTGGGTTTCTGGGTTGCTCTGGCTGTTCTTCCGTTCCGCGGATGAACTCGGTCAGTAGTCCTCTTCGTATGAGGCCTTCGATTTCGTACCGTAGCTCCCTGCAATCTTCTATCCAGTGCCTCGTTTCTCTGTGGAAGTCGCAATGCTTTTTTGGATCGCGCATGTGTGGTAAGGCCTTCAATGGCGCGAGCCAGTTGATTTTGTAACCTTTCTCGCGGAGAACGTGAAACATGTTTTTTACTGAATCGTTGAGTGGTGTGTAGGCGTTTGATGGGCGCCTATCCGGTGATCGTCCCCGCTGAGCTTGTTCTGGTGGGGGGGGGGGGGAGGCTGGCGCTTTGGTTCGCTGTGTAATTGTACTAATTGCTCCCGCGGCACCGGGAGCTGCCTCTGCCCCTGATCTTCTTGGGGCAGTTTTGCGGGTTCGAAGCGCCTGACAGAGCCCACGCCGAGGGTTTCTTCCAGTGTGATGGCCTTCTCGATTTTCATCTCTAGCTCTGTCGATAGCGTGACGGGTCTTTTTGCTAATGCCCGCTTGAGCTCCATGTTGGGGGTGGCTTCCATAAGATGATGGGCGGCGGTTTCAGGGGTGAGATCACGCACGGTCATTGCCACCCTGGACCATCTGGCATAGAATGCTCGCAGGCTTTCTCCGTCCTTTTGCCCGATGTCTATCAGCGCCTTGAGGTGGAGAGGCCTTCTTTTTTGAGACGCGAATTTCGTTGTAAACAAGAGTATGAACTCCTCGAACGAGCGGATGATTCCGTTTGGGAGTCTGTTATACCAATCGAGACATATTCCGGAGAATGTTGATGGGAAGGTTATGCATAGTGTCGCGTTGGAGTTGGTTTGGAGTTGCATCCGCAGGCAGAAGGTGCTCACATGGTTCTCTGGATCGGTCGTTCCGTTATACGTTGGGAGGGTGGGTGGCATTCTGCTCAAGTGCTCCGCCATGATTTCCGCGCTTAGCGGTTGGTGGAGGGCCTTTCTGAGTGGGTTGGGGCGGTATTGCGGGGATAGGTGTTGCTCCAAGAAGCTGAGGTCCGCCCTATTTGGCGGCTCGGCTTGTTGCGTTTCACACACGGGTAATTCGGCCGGCGCTGGTTGTGGTAGCGGGGCGGTCCCTGAAGCCTCTCCTGGCGCTTGTTGCGGCGCGGCCGGGGCCACGTTCGCTGTTGTCGCGGCTTCTTTGCTCATCATGAGCGCTATGACTTGGCTCATTTGTTTTTGCATATCGGCTATGACGTTGTTTTGCTTCGCCATTAGTTGCCTCATTTCTTTGGCTGTCAGCTCGGACTCCTCTTCTTCGATGAGCACCGCGTTGAGGTTGCTGGTTTCCGCGAACACCCTTGGGTTGGTCATTGCTTTGATGGGTGTTTCTTCGTCAGGTGAGTTGGGGTTATGTTCTGCCATTGGTTGGTTTTCTGTTGCTTCTCTACTTGGCCCCACGGTGGGCGCCAATTGTTTGAGCCTAACTGATGTAGGAGTGAGGCTCGGGAAGATGGGTCAAGAAGAGTAAGCAAGGGGGATTAGAGATGGATCCAAAAACAAAGGAAGGGGAGAATGTGACCAAGAGAATCAGTAATAAGGACCAGTCTCGGATTCAAGAACAAAGGGAGAATATGACTGAGGTCCATATCTTAGAGAGAGAAGTAGGTTGTTTTAGAGATCAAGTCTCCAAAAATCCCATCCCTTTACCCACCAGAGTAAATGCCATATTTATAGGCTACATGGTGGTGGGTGAGTTACATGATGACATGACTACTGACATTTCAGGGGCTTAGGCCACACCTCTACCTAGGAAGGGACATTTAGCCCATGACTATACCTAGGATTATGATGGTGACCACTCTTCGGAGGACACGGCGTCGTTTTCGTGGTTTCCTGGTCTGGTCAACGTCTGACCCGAACGTCGTAGTTCGGTGTTCGGGCGCAGCTTTCGGGCGCGGATTATGGTTGCGTTAGTTCTGGCGCGCCCGGCTTATGGTCGCGTCAGTGCTGGCGCGTCTGGCTCTTATGGAGGCGCCGTTGAGGTATTTCCTTGGCGCGGCGAGATCCGAGTCATATACCCAACAAGTCTTCAGTTGCCTAGAAATAACATCTCAATTTCTTGTAATTGGTAATCTTTAATTTGACGAATTGGAGGTTGAGAGACAACTAATACTAGTGTGAAATAGTGATATGTAATGATTTATGTACAATTAAATGACACTCTTGGTGGTTGAGGGTCGCGTAGTAGTGAATAAGAGAATCTAGTTGAGAGGATAACATACACACTAGCTTATATTTCGGGATTGATCGGTATTTCGGTATATATCGATCCCAATTCTGTAATCCCTAATGCCGAATATCAATTGAAATTCAATCCCAATGCCAATCCCATGAAAATAATACGTGTATTTGGTAATACCAAATATAGAAAAATTCGGTATGGTATTCGGTATACCCAAATTCAGGTACCAACTACCAAACTTCCAGCCCTATGAGTGACCCCGAGGTGGGCTAGGTGACTCGAAGTGATTGACCCTGGGGTGGGCTAGGTGACCCAAGGTAATTGACTCCGGGTGGCCGGAGTGACCCCGGGGGTGGGCTAGGTGACCCAAGGTAATTGACCCCGTGGTAGTCGGAGTGACCCCAAGGTGATTGACCCCCGGTGGCCTGAGTGACCACAAGGTGGGCTAGGTGACCCAAGGTAATTGACCCTGGGGTAGCGGGAGTGACCCCAAGGTGATTGACCCCAGGTGGCCGGAGTGACCCCAAGATGGACTAGGTGACCCGAGGTAATTGACCCCGGGGTGGGCGGAGTGACCCCAAGGTGACCCATGGTGATTGACCCCGGGTGACCGGAGTGGCCCCATGGTAGCCCAAGGTGATTGACCTCGAGTGGGCGGAGTGACCCTGGGGTGGTCTAGGTGACCCGAGGTGATTGACCCCAGCCTGGTTGACCTCAGATGACCTGCAGTAATCGGTGTGGGTTGCTGATTATGGACTATCTCGAAATAGTTTTGTCAAATTAAATTTTTTAATTTAGGGTCCATTAGTTGCCCTTGTTGTTGTAAATATTGAACGAAGGAGATTTTGCGGCGACAATCGCATATTTATTGGGCTCTTGGAAAACCTTGGCAAGAGAACGAACTAATTGTGATTCGTGTATTGCAAGAGATAAAAAAAAATATGTACCAATCATGGTTCATGAATTTGGAGCTATTATAGACTAAACCAATCTTGGATTTTTAGATATGTATATAACAAGATCAAAACAATTTTGGCTCATGGAAATTAAAGGGTGGAGTCTAGCCGACAACGGACCATGCGTAGAATTTCTGAGCCGATGTTGGTTCATTATACAGTTGGTGATCAACCAATTGTGGGTCATGTATGTAAGAGATGAACGAATCGTAGCTCGTTATGTGGAGGGGATCTGAACTAATATTAGGTAAGATGTGGTCCATTTGAATGGAGATAATGAAAAAATGTTGTTCATGAATGGAGAGAATGAACGAATTTTGTTCATGCCTTGAGCACATGTACCAATCTTTGCATCAAATAAACCTTGATATGGGTTATAGCCACAAACGATTCTCGTTAGACTCTGACATTATACTCCATATTTCATTAGGTTTTCCAGCATTCTCGTTATCATTTTTGCTAGAATTCTCGTTGTCTAATAATTCTACTAAGATTACTTTTGCTCCCCATATGCATCTATGCTGGCAGTGTTGATGGCAGTTATAACAGTCGGGGTGGAACCGATCATGATGATAACACCAAGATGACAACACTTTGATGTGGGTGAGACATTCTATTATTATGATGATGACTATAAGAATTTTTTTGGAGGGGGCATCACACAAAGTGGCGATATAGCCAGAATAGCCAGCCATATTGTCCACGACAATATAGTGTCGATAGGTATGATGATAGCTGAATATGATCACACCTTCCTTGGATATTGTCACTCTATTGAGAGGAAATTAAGAAAATGATAATGATTTAAGGCATATATCCCCACCATTAGTCATCAGCACATTCGGTAATCGGCTACCCGGACAATAACCACAACCGCAGCAATTCAACAAACGGTTTACCCATGGAATTCCGGTATTGGCAAACAGTGGGGCCGACATGCTTCCCTGTGTACCAAACAGGTTATCGATCGTTTACCAGCCCTATTCATTTTATTCAACCTATTTAACTTGTTTTGGAGCTGGGCAGTTGTTGATATTCTCGAAGACTTTATCTGTTATGACCCGTCTCATTTTTTACATGTTTTCGCAAATCAATTTAGGATTTTTACTTTTATTACCTCATATTTCAACTATAATAAAGTTGTGTATATGTGAGAACCTCAACTCGTAATAGTTTGTTGTTTGATTTTTTTAATGAAAATAGTAATATTTCTCATGTTTTTTTTTTCTTTGAATTGCATAATCTATGGATCGATCTACTCCATCTGCGGTCCATGATAAATTAGGTGATCTAGAACCAAACTACCACAAGATGAGTATGGATATCGAGATGCCAATTGCTCATTGCAATTCCTACATCACCTCATGGTAGTTATAGAACCTAAACAATAAACATCCATTTTTCTTTACCTAAGTTTTTTTGAAAATGTTTGTTTTCACCTCCAAGTTGTAAGGACTTCATTGTCATTTCCAATTGTCTCAAAATCCCTCTTTGTTTCTTCAATGGAGGATCTGAATAGTTTCATCATTTTGGCCTCCATATGGAGCTTCCTCTATCTTTTTAGTCCGACTTGGAACAATTCTTTTGCTCTTCCTTTTGTTACTTCTCTTCTCCCACCAGGCTCAGCAGTTGGCCTTGTGCATATAATTGCTACACTTGGTTGGTATCTGTGACTCGCATATTTTCGCGCCAAATTTAGAAGAGTAATAGGGATCGATGAAATGCCTATGCTGAATGGTTGGTTGGTATAGAAAAAGCGAACAACTTTTCGGAAATAACTAATATAGAGCAGGGAGAAAGAAGACGAAGGCAGATCCATTGCAGAAGGAGATGGATTCCGGGTTATCGTGGGCGGATCAATGGGATTACAACGACGATCCTCCCCCGCAGAAGAACTCGAATGACAAGAAGAAGGGGAACGATGGGAGCAAGAGCAGCATTGGGAAGAAGTTTCTTAGCTTGAAATGGATGAAAGATTTGAGGAAGAAACCTGCTTCTGCTTCTGCTTCTCATAAGGAGGGTGAATGAAGCTGTAAGGCCCAGAAGAAGAAGAAGAAGTTAGAAATGGAAAACAGTCTCTTCCCTCTTTTCTTTTCCCCTCCCTTTGTCATCCATTCATCTTGGGTGACAATCAAGTAATCATCGAACATACATCTTGTGTTATTCATGCTTCAAAAAAAAAAAAATGATTATTTTCTTGTTCATTGAAGAATACCATTAATGTTTGGAGGAATGCAATATAATTCTGCATACAGCTCATCTATAATAGATCATTCATCGTTACAATTTTGTTTCGTATTTTTTGTTTTTATTTCAAAGTAACGAAAAATAAATACATGAGATGATATTGAAGGGGGAAGAAAAAAAAGGAACTTTCAATCACCTGAGCAAATCTCTCACTCACTTTTGATTGAATTATACAGAACAAGGGCATAGGGTCACTGGTCACACATGAAATCCAATGAAGAACATGCTGACCAATGATCGAGTCGTATGAAACCACTACGGTATCTTTTTTATTCGTTTGAAGTTTGAACAGATCCAAAAATAAGAGAAGAGTTTACATTACGTTCTATACCCAACTTCGGGCTTCATTCAGGATATAAAACAGCAGAAGCAAAATGCAGGACTAAATCCATGCAGCATAAGAAACAAAACAAACCCACAAAGACTCCTGTCTCTCCCCTTCTTCCCGTTTTTTCAGTCACCACCATCGCCGTCAAATCAAATAAAATAATAGGTTAACACGACAATCACAAGTCGGAAACACGAACAGATGCCTTGTTTCCATGCTAAACTCGACCTTGCAAAGCGTGGATTCAACTCCCAATTTGAAAGGAATTGAATCATAGGTTTTTCATATGGAACTAAAATTAACACAGGATTAGTAAACGAATGTATGACAATAGGAGAAGACCAGATTTCTCTCACCTAAAGAATTCAACAAGGCCTGCAATTTCCCTACACTGAAGCTTGCATTGAGCAGCTAACTTAATACTTTTAGAAATGGCGAGCCCCGTCTGTTTGTGTGTAGATGCTGGCATATATGAATCAGCTTCTTTTTCTTTCCCCGCTTCAAGAGCTTCCCTAGCAGGAATCACATTCTCCCACCAAAACTCCTTCAACATCCCACACATTAGCTCCCAGTAATCACGGTCCCTGGGGACATGGAATATCGTGCTACCATTCGGCATCCAGCAATACAAATCTGCCCATTCTCTATCCATAATCTCCAGCTGACCTTGAACCTGAGGCATATAATAGAAAGGCATGGTCGACCAGGGGAGACCCTGCTCGGGCTTCCCCTTGTTATAAGGACACTTCACTTCCAATATCCCACCATCAGGAAAGCACCCAAGTAGACCATCTGGTGAAGCACCAAGCCAATCAAGCTTCTCTTGTGCATGGACTGCAAACCCTTGTGAGCTAACCTCACGACCCGTGATGCTTCTATATCGGTCGATGGCTAATGATTCATTGAGCACACCCCATTCCATTGCATTCTTTGAAGCTGGAACAAACTCAACTTCTGATGCAAAAACCTTTTCACGCCAGAGCTCTGGTCTTCGTTTCCCCTTCCAAAACCCCAAGGCGGTACTAAAGGTGCTTGTGGTCAGCTTGTCCTTCCTAAGGGCAAACCATTCCTCCGAGCGTTGAGGTGCATCTGATTGGGTGATGCAGGCGGATAAGGCTAGGGGTTTGAAAGAAGGTGTTGGAGATATCAACAGTTGTGAGCTGGTGAAAAATCTGCAGCCAGAGAGATTGGTGCAGGTCTTTGTGGAGGATGATGATATTGTTATTGTGACCCTCTTGTGGTGGATATGGTTGACTCTAGTAATGCAGGCATTGGTCATTGCAAAGAGTATAAGACTGTAGGCAGTGACTCGGTTTTGGTGAAACCCCGCCCTACAATAGCCACACACTGCTTAAACTGTTAGAACACACATGAAATACTTAAAAGATAAGGCAAAAACTACATATGAGAAACTTAACTTGCAAAGCAGTTCACTTGATTCGGACTGTATAGTGTAAAACTATTAACGGCAGCAATCAAGAAACAGACGATCAGCCTTGCTCTATTCTCTAAGGGAAAGCAAACGGTTTTCATGCCCGAAACCTTTCATTGACATCAAAGGACTTAAATCTTTGCTCTTGGGAGACGCATTTTCAAGTAAAACAGCATAACCCTTTTCTACCACATTCATCCATAACTCGAGAATCTAATGGTTGCAAGAAATGACAAATTGGATATCTTAAGTTGCCCTTTCATTAAGTACCCTCATATTGTTGAAAGGCAGAGAATGCAAGGGCAAGGAAAATGGCAGCCAAACTCACAATTCATAGTGAATGGCTTGGCATACACATCAATCCCAAAAGCATAAGCCAAATGAAAGCTAGTTTTTTTACAAGTATCCAACTTTGTCAAAGGCAAAAGCAAACGGGAACCACCACGACCCCCTAGGAAGGGCTGAAACCATTAGTTCAGGCAACCACGAGGCGACAGTTTTATCATATCATACTTCCAGCTAATCAACCTATTTCCACATGCTCCCCAGCAAAACGCAAACAAATCCCACAAAATGGAGAGTTTCAAAGCTACAACCATTCAAAACAAAAACGATGCAAACCCCACTTCTGGAAAAGCTCAGGAACGCACAAGAACATCACAAATTCTTCACAACCCTTGTATATACATTGCCCAGGCAAAAAAGTGCTCGATAGAATACTTGGAAGAAATTTTTGGTTGCTGGAGTTGTTCTTTTGAGCTGAGAGTGGAATGGAAGAAAGGGCTTTAACATTGACGGAAGATAAAGAAGCTCTTGATTGCTGAGAAGAGACGAGAATTCGGTTCATCTCCGTCTACAGCATTTTGAAGGTTCGTCTTGGGAAAATAAAAATGGCGCAAAGGGATTGAGTTGAGGCCCGAGGGATCCGACACGACAGAGCCAGAGGCGCGCAGATGATGAAAGAGTCGACGCTGAGATATTTCCTTATGCTGCTGCCGAGGTTTCGCCTAAACGAGGCCGTTTGACCTTTGGCTTCTCGTCTCATCCTATTTCTTCCCCTCTATTATCCGCTGTTAATCCTCAAAGCCTAAAGCTTTTACTTCACGCACCCTCCTCCCTCTCTCTAAGCTATTCCGCTCGCTTCCAAATCCAATTCTCCTCCCATCAATCTTCCGCCTCCATACTCAACCGACAGACAAGGACCAAAAAACAGAGCTCAACCTTCATCAATGGCTTCACTCCGCCGCCCTTTCGTCTCTCCTTGCTGAACCCACAAGTTAATTTCCAGTTCTCAACAAAACCCAGTTTCCAGCTCGGGGTAAAGCTGAATTTTGTGCACTAGATATGTATCTGTCGGAGAAGCCTCGCGCAATTGATTTCTACAAAGAAGAACTACCGCCGCCTGCTGCTTCGAGAGACAACATGATTATAGAAGTCGTTTCCCCTAATGGCGATTTGCAGCCACTTCCTCAGCAGCAGCAGCACAGTAATCATCCTCCGCCTCCCCCGCCACCTCAGCCGCAGCAAATGATTCTAGGGGAGAGCAGCGGAGAAGACACACATGAAGTGAGAGCTCCTAAAAAAAGAGCGGAGACTTGGGTACAGGACGAAACACGGAGCTTGATTGCTTTGCGAAGGGAAATGGATTTGCTGTTCAATACATCTAAATCGAACAAGCACTTGTGGGAGGAGATTTCGTTGAAGATGAGGGAAAAGGGTTTTGATCGATCTCCGACCATGTGTACTGATAAGTGGAGGAATTTGTTGAAGGAGTTCAAGAAGGCTAAGCATCAGGAGAAAGGAAGCAGTGGAGGGTCTGCAAAGATGTCTTATTACAAAGAGATTGATGAGATTTTGAAGGACAGAGGGAAGAGTAGTCAGCCGTATAAAAGCCCCACTCCTACTTCTAAAGTCGACTCATATATGCAGTTTGCTGATAAAGGTGAGAAAGGGCTCCCTCTGATTTGTTACTAATTTCATCAAGAGCTTTTCTTTCTGTGGCATCCATGAACTGTTCAATTTCTCATCTTTTGGTGTTTGGGTTGTGTAGTGTGATTTTAAATATTGGAATGGAAATGTTGGAATGAAGTTGTGTTGGAGGAGCTGTTTTTGGCATGGTTTAGGACAGTTTCTAGCAATACAGTGGAAAAATTGAGGCTTTATTAATGCCTAGTGTGGTTGGCTATGGTAGCTGAGGAGACTAATCATCTTGGTTGTGAACTGTTGACTGACTTGTTTTTGTCTCTGACGTATCGGTTTGGCTGGCACTTTCAGTATTTCTCTTGCTAGAAGATGATTGTTCGGATTTTACACATTGCATCTTCTCTCGAATGATTTGCATGCCTGGTTTTCTCTTTGATCTAGCGTGAACTGGCTTGTGGTTGGTCGATGCTATGACCATTTACCACTTATTATGCCATTTTGGTATAACTTCTGCAATTTGTTCTTGTGCACATGAAGAACATCTCTTGACCAATTCCCCCTGACAGGTTTTGAAGATGCAAGTTTATCTTTTGGACCAGTTGAAGGTACTTCATTTTCGCTTTTGGGTGTGATCTTCAACTTCATTTTCGCTTTTGGGTGTGATCTTCAACTTCATTTTCGCTTTTGGGTGTGATTTTGAGTTGTCTTCCAACTTGGTGCATCGATTGCTTGAAATAAGTTCAAAGTTGTATACCCGGGTGACCACCCATGTGTATTTGTTGTGTTTGAGATGTTTTTAGTAAGAATCACTTGTGAATATGATATATGTTCACAAAAAGGTTTCCTTCCCTTTGTAGATATTGGTTTAAGGGTCAAGCTGATCAATCCAAAGATGATGATCATTAATAATTTGGCATCGTAGTTAGGGGCTCATACCCAAATGAAATCTCCATTCCTTAGACTACTGATTCTTGCATCAATATAATATCAATAGAATAACAGTCATTAGATAATAGAATCTCAGTTCAATTAGCATTTAAAATGCATCCTTTTGTCTTCCAACCAATACAATTATTGTTAATACTTAATGGTACTACACTTCACAAGTGAGTAAATAGTTACACAACATTCATAGTGAGATTTCAAGATAGTCTTCTATCTATGCTTTGCACACTTTGGCTTATATGTGACGTATTGTTGTTATGTACATCAAAATATATCTCAAAGAGATATGTTATTTTCCCCTTCGTTTTAAGGTTCTTGGTGTGCAGCTAGTGGCAGGCCAACGCTGAACCTCGAAAGACGATTGGATCACGATGGTCATCCCCTTGCCATCACTGCAGCTGATGCTGTTGCAGCAAGTGGAGTTCCTCCTTGGAATTGGAGAGAAGCCCCCGGAAGTGGTGAGGATAGACTAGTCAAACATTCCATAAGTCAAAATCTTTTGTCTCATGTCTTGAGAGGAATTCTTTTTTTCTGTACTATTTTTACCAGGTGCTGACAGTCAGTCATATGGTGGGAGGGTGATAACAGTCAAGTATGGAGACTACTTGAGAAGGATTGGCATTGATGGAACTGCCGATGCCATCAAGGATGCAATTCGGTCTGGTTTCAGATTAAGAACTAAACGTGCATTTTGGTTGGAGGATGAAGATCAAGTAATACGCAGTCTCGACCGGGATATGCCGCTCGGGAACTACACTCTTCATCTTGATGAAGGTAATAGATTTATTCGTGTCTATTGCTAGTGCTATTAGAGGTGGCAAATGGGTAAATGGTTGCTGAGGATCAATGACATTTTCTTGAAGACCTGATGTGGTCATTTGTCAGGTTTAAGGGTTTTTGGAAAGTTTTACAAGTCTGGGTAGTAAATTTCAAAATATTAGAATGGGTTAGTTTGTTAATAGCTTATAGTTGGCTTTAATTTCTGGACTGGTTTGAAACATTCTTAAAATTGAAGTACTAACATGTAAGCCACAAAATACTTAGGTACTGAATCTTTGGCAAAAAATGTGTACCAAGTTTAGGTACAAAATGTTAACGTGCTGAACAGTGTTTAGCAGTGATCCATCAATTCAAGTCATTTTGCCCTCCAACCCGATGGATTTGGGTAAAGTGGGTTTGATTTAGATGGGAATTAAGAATGGATTACGAAACCATACCGGATATAAAACCGTTGGGGTCGAGAGTTCAAAGTATAATAGGTTATAACAGCAAAATCATGTTAGAACTGTGAATGTAACTATACTGGCTTGGTCACCTGTATATATTTTAGCTGGTACGATACGGTATCACAAACACACCTATTTATAGGTTGGAACGGTGGGTTGGGCTGATACTTGCCTCCTCTAGTTTGCAGCATTGAGCTATTGGTATATTGAAGCATGTTTAGAACACTTTGGTTGTATCAGGTTTGGGTATAAAGGTATGCTTGTACGATGAGACCGACCACATACCAGTGCACACTGAGGAGAAGCTTTTCTATACCGAAGACGACTACCGGGACTTTCTAAACCGACGTGGATGGACATGCTTGAGGGAGTTTGATGGTTACAGAAACGTTGATAGTATGGACGATCTCAGGCCTGGCGCCTTGTATCGTGGCGTGAATTGATTATATAGCCATGACTGACCATTTCTGCAAGCACCAATTTGTCAGTAACATCTCTTTGTTTCCTTGTGTTTTATGCATGTATTTATGGCCGCTCTCTCCAAAAGTGTATACATATTTTGTAGCTTGTGAAAAAAGTTAGGGTTGACTTGGACAGTTTCAATGTTTCTGTACATACTGTAGCTTAAAAGTTTTGTTTCGTTCAATATCAGCAAAGCTTTGTTCAGTTTATTTTAATAAAAAAATATGGAAACGTGTGTTCTGTCTGATAGGGTTTTGCTTCTGCTTCTGAACTTTAAACCACAGGGGTTTCCTTTTGCGGTATGGATTGCAGATTTCGATTTGGAGGACTACAAACGAAAAAGACGTCTTCTGCTTTCTTTATTTCCTCTCATGCCTTCTCTGTATCCTTCTTCTTCCTGTTCATCTCTGACACAGTCACGATTGTGACAACTTGGTATGATGGTATCGGAGCAACGATTCTGAGGAAGAGGCTCGTGACTAAGGTTGAGAAATAATAAGTCAATCATCTTTTATTAGAACAATAAGGTACATGAGAAAGGGGTGACTAAGGTTGAGAGTACAAAGTATAATAATAAGTCAATCATCTTTTATTAGAACAATAAGGTACATGAGAAAGGGGTGACTAAGGTTGAGAGTACAAAGTATAATAATAAGTCAATCATCTTTTATTAGAACAATAAGGTACATGAGAAAGGGGTTAGCTATATCTCGATTATGTGCTTGTTATCAGAACAATAGAAATGATCCAGCTTTTGGGGTCCTTCTGAGATATGGAAAACAGCAAAGAACGATCGGATTATTACTGGTGTTCCTCTCACTGCAGAGACTACGGAGGGAGTCGTACACATGGTTCCTTTCCCATTACAATAACAGACACCAAACTTCATCTCGATGGAGAGTCAAGAACAGTTACAAAGTAGTCATTTCTACAACCCTTATGCGAAACTCTTTCAAAAATGTGAATAAAAGATTCACAGCAGAAGATGCAGGGGAAGGGAAAACAAGAAACCAATCTCGAAACAATTCGGGAGAGAGCTCTGCTGATCCGTGTCTACTCTTCATCATCCGATTCTTCTTCATCGTTCTTGTACGAAACAAGAGTGTTCACCTTGTGAATCTGCACAAGCCACCGTGTTCACACAAATCAGCTCAGCATCAACCTCTCCAAGTTTAATGCTGCTATTCAGCTGTCATGGTTACTGGCAGAAGCTATAAATCATTCTTGCAACTAATCAACCTAGTGCCTTGAGCTGGCTTTACCTACTACTGGATTTCAACCAATGATTGAGCTTATGATTGATGGAAGAAGAACGAAAATCTCGAGTTCCCAAGCTTTTTGTTACCTTGGTATCAAAAGAATGCAACTTCACCATTTGTGGGTTGGCAATCAGTTTGGCATCGCTACTCTCCATCCAAGTAAAAGGGACGGCTACATCAGTATCCGTGTATGCCAAGACATCAAATACACCTAATGGAACAGGCAAGAAAACATTAGACAAAAGGAATTTAGGCTCAATGAACTCTGTATGTAAGCATAATGCTGAAGGCTTCAAGGACTTCAGGACTTGGATAATTCAAAAATCACACATTGTTCATCCAGGCATGGCAAGTAAGTAATGCTGGAGGCAATCTGGCGCATGATTGCCTGTATCTCTCTCATGATCTCTTTATCACTCTTCTCCCTGGAAACCCTGGTGAAAAGATCACATCATATACGGCACCAATCAGAATGAGACATTAAAACTCTTGAAATCCTAGGTAATGGCGTTGTTTGGCACTCACCCTTTCTCCACAACCTCATTGTCAGTCTCAATGCTGAAATTCCACCTCTCTAGAACCTCGCCAGTATTCATGCTCATTATCACTAGAACAACTCTCTGCAACTTCCCAGCTTCCAGCCATTCTACAGAAGATAATTCAGGAACCCTAAATTTCAGCCACCAATGGTTTTATTTTAACCAAACAACCAATCAAAGAAAATTTGGGAATCAGTCAAAGTGCACTGAAGGAGAGACACTCCCACAGTTAACTTCCAATTCATTTCCATCTCTAACCCCAAACAGTTGGTTCTCTCTTTTTCGTCAAGTTTTTCCTCCCTTTTCCAAGCAACCAAACAGAAAACTCCAGAATTGAGAAACTGAGGAACGAGCAAGATGTTACCTGACAACTGAGCATTAAGATTGGAAATAAAGGATTTAACACCTTCATCCTTAGTGAGCAGCATGGGAAGCCCATATTTCTTGACCCTGGCAAAGCTCTCTTCTGGATAAACCGCGCGATTGTACAGTATACTGTACCAAACCACCAAAAAAAAAAACACCAAGAAAACCCATCTCACAAAATCAATCTTCCAAATCCCCAGACCAAAAAAGTAAAGATCGAGAAAAAAGGAACGAAAAGGGTGCCGCAGATTACCTGTTTGCTGCATAGCCTGAATGAATAGGGTTTCCCAATAAAACCAAATCCAAGGAAAAGCAAACCATCAGTCCCCATATTTAGATCTCACAACAGAAACCCAGAAAGGGAATCGAATCGAAGGGGAAAGAGGGTTACCGAAGAACTCGCTGACAATGGCGGCGGAGCCTCTGAGCGTGATGATATCTTTTGCTGCTGTTTTGGACGCCATAACGAAAGAAACAAAGGAAAGAGTCTCTAATCGGTTCTCCAATTCGAAGTTGCGAGAAACAAAGTTATCGATTGAGTTTGCTTTTGCGAAGAGAGCGGAAATGGCGATTGTCGACGAGAACTATGAAGGAATAAAGGGGGAGGGCGGGTAACGGCTAGTTTTGCCGGCACTGTGCCGTAGTGGGGTATGGACTTTAGTGGAGGGGGCATGCTTTGGAAATATGAGCAACGGTTACTTTCAAAATTGCTCTAATTAGTTATTATTACTTTAAAACTGAATCCAATCCAAGAAGATTTATGCATCTCATCTTGTTTTTTTTTTTTTTTTCGTTGAATCAGGTGCCCTCTTCTTATTAATCAAGTTAGCAAGAAGCTAAACAAAACCAGATACAACGAAAGGGAGGTATCGAAGTGATACTCCCAAAGTCCTGCAAAACTACACAACTGACGACTACAGTAGGAACCTTAGCATCGACTACTAAGCATAGACCTTATAGAATCCCAATACACTCCAAATCCCCCAAAATACACCTTGTTTCTCCTATAATCAAAAGATCTCGCTTGATTAAGGCTTGCAACTCTGATACAGAATGTGAAGCCCCATCATACATTCTTCGACAACGCTCCTTCCAAATCGAGGCTACCAAGAAGCACCAAACCATCCCTGCAAGAGTGCCATTTTTCCTTCTGCAAATAGAACAAGCAGCAGCCACTGTGGCTGGCCAAGTTGCACAGCACAAAGGTAAAGAGCAAACCCCTTGAACCACCTCTCTGGAATACTCGCATTGGAAAAACAGATGCTCCCTAGAGTCAATCCCTTGCCTGCATAAAACACAACCAGCATCTACACTTTTCCCCCATTTCACTAACTTCTCAGACGTGACAATACCATCAAGCAGAATAGTCCAAGCAAGAAAACTATTCCTAGGAACAAAGCCTTTGCCCCATACTAATTTGTACCATTCCACAACAGGCCATTTCGGCCTAATCCCCTCCCAAACAACACTTAGTCGAAACCTGGGCATAGGAGTTTGATCCCAAAGAACCACCCCCCCCCCCCCTGAACAGAGTAATGTTGCTGCCGCACTTGTCTTGTTTTCAAAATTCTACGCCAGGCCCAGGAGCCACGAGAACTGGACTTAATTGTCCAGATGCTACCTTGCTTGATCCTATAAGAATGGATCCATGCTACCCATATAGTCCCACTCTGCATCAGAATCAGCCAGAGCATACGAGCAGTGCATGCCTGATTCCATGAAAAAAGCTCTTTCAAACCCAGTCCTCCCTCCTGCTTTGGCCTGGCCATCCTGTCCCATCCTATCTTCGCTTTGCCATCCTCATTTCCATGCCATAAAAAGGTGGAGCAAATTGTCTGAACCTGTTTGAGGACTTTCTTAGGGAGCAAGAAAACCTGCATCCAATACTGCAATACCCCCAGAAGGACCGAGCTAACCAACTGAAGCCTCCCAGCATAGCTGAGCCTCTTTGCTCTCCAGGACTTGATTTTGTGGGTGATTTTAGCTACAAGTTTGTCACAATCAGCAGTAGACAGTTTTCCAGTTATTAGTGGAAGGCCCAAATACCTCACTGGAAGCATCCCCTCCTGAAAACCAGACACTAGGAGAGCTCGACTCTTAAACATCACTGACAGCCCCCCAAAGTAAACCTCACATTTTGCAGGGTTGCACTTCAAACCAGACAGGGTATAGAATTCAGAGAGAATTCCTTGTACCTTAGATATAGCAGTCCCTGACCCTTCAGTAAAGATCAAAAGATCATCAGCAAAACTCAGGTGAGTTAGCTTCACTTTTTTACACTGGGGATGGTAAGGAAGATGGCCAAGAGCAGCAGACTCATTCAACAGTAAAGATAACCCCTCCATGGCAATAGTAAAGAGGTAGGGTGATAATGGATCACCCTGCCTCACACCCTTTTGAGCCCCAAAATATCCACAAAGCCCCCCATTAATGCAAATACTGAACTTTGCAGTTTTAACAGTCAACTTAAGCCAGTTAATAAAGCAAGCAGGGAATCCCATAATGTCCATCATCAGAAACAGATAAGCCCAATTAACTGAATCAAAAGCTTTCATAAGGTCTACTTTAATAGCACAACGAGAAGACAGATGTATTCTATGATAGCCACTAACCAACTCTTGTGCCATTAAAATGTTGTCAACAATTCTTCTCCCTTCTATAAATGCAGATTGATTCCCACTGATGACTTTAGGAAGCACTCTCTTCAGACGATTAGCCAACACCTTAGCTATTATTTTGTATAAAATATTAATGCAAGATATTGGCCTAAAGTCTTTAAGAGCACAGGCAGAAGGTACCTTAGGTAACAGAGAGACAGCAGTAGCATTGACACTTCCAGGGAGGCGCCCTGATGAGAAAAAATCCCTCACACCTGCCAGAACATCATGTCTGATAATAGGCCATGCTTTCCTATAGAAACCTGCGGAGAATCCATCCGGGCCAGGGGCCTTGTAAGGATTCATATGGAGGACCACAGACTGAATTTCATCATCTGTAACAGGAGAAATAAGAAATGCGACCTCCTGAGCTCCAAGCCTGTTTTGAACCAGTGACTCCAACCGACCTCTATCCGGGTGAACATCATGATTACAAACACCAAATAGGTTCTTATAAAACGAGACAGCCTCCTCTGCAATTTTCTCCACATCTGTAATCTCCTCACCAGTCCCAGTGATTAGCTTGCGGATTGCCCTTTTAGCTGTATGAATCTTAACGGCTTGATGAAAGAAACAGATCATCTTGTTTTTTATTTTTCATTGCCCAACAAAAATAAGGAGAAAATGAGGTTAATTGCATGGTTGGTCACTGAGATTATAAAAAAAGTTCAAGTTTGGTCACTATAAATATTTAAATTCATTGGTGGTCCCTAATTTTATAAAAACCGTTCACTTATGGTCACTCTCCGTTAGCTGCCGTCCAATGCCGTTAACGGCGTCCGTTAAGTGATAACGTGGCTAACGAATTCGCCAAATTAGCACTTTTTAACCCGAAAATTAACAGATCCGACCCGCCACGTCATTGAGACCCGCCATGTCAGCTAAACCAACCAAACCAGACCCGCTAACTAAACCAGACCGACCCGAACCACCAACTCATCTATCTTATTTATATGGCTTTCTGGCCACAAGAATCCTTTCATCTTCCCAAAACCTTCACATCACACTATGTTTTCTTCTCATCC